ATAAAGCTTAACCCTATCCGTACGTCGTGTTTTACTATCGTATGCATACTGTATCAGGAACTCTGTGCCACCACTTTCCAAAGAGAAGTTTACTCGTAAATCCGATCCGTACGCTTTACCTAGCGGTTTGTCAAATGATTTTTTGAGAAACACTGAAAGTTTCAAAGAGATCTTCGTACTAGAAGTATTCTAATATGTGAAGAATACAACCCCTGGGGTACAAAATGACCTCATGGCATACAGATAGGGTTAAACAAAAAATATAAAAGTCAAGGTGAGGAAACAAGCGAAGGAATCCATTTTCACATCTTTTGAGTGCTTACAAAATGTGATTCACAGCCCGCAATTTGGAGAAATTCCGCTTAAAGTCTACTTGACCTCCCCACCCACCCCCCCTCCCCCACACACTCCCCATTCTAAAAAGAGAGTCTATAACCTACTCTAACGACCACCACCTGTTCAAGACAATCACCAATACAAAAGACCATTTCCCACTTCCCCCCTTGCGTTTTTTAAAAAAATATTATAATGACAGTGTCCAAGACATCCACCTGTCTAAGACAATCACTTTTCTCCTCGACAAAGGGTGATGGTCGTCTTTGAAAATTTCAGCTGTAATTTAAATGCATCTTTCACATAAATCGTCCCTCAAAACACGTACTAGCGTAAGCTATATTTGGTTAGTTTTGCAGGAGAGACGTTTAAAGATTTGGGTGATTTTCACCATCCCATTGTGGCGTCAAATAGCCGATCCTGCCCTCAATATTTTGACATAACGTGTGTGGGCCGACTACTTTTCAATTGGCTAGAAGTAGAAGCATTTTTGTGAAAATAAAAGGTTTTGAAGGGAAAATCACCTTTATGTCCGATATGCTAGTACGTATTTAGAGGGACGAAATGTGATCCCACAGAGGGTGAAGATCCTAGACTAGACAGGCGTAGTAGGTCAAGTACGTTGCGAAAAGAGGACTCAAGTAGACTTTTACCGAGATTTGTGCCCACACTAGACCTAAAACAGGATCTCCGAGGCAGTATCAAAAGTGTAAAGACAATAATGATAATAATAATAATAATATAAAGACTGATTATGTGTGCATTGTGAACTAGAAGAACATATTGTGTAAAGGTGCTTCTGATGTAAGTACTTGTGGAATGTAATAACGGAGTGATATGATATAGAGTTCATACAACAATCATCAACAACAAATGGGCCCCGGTTTTTTTTACCAAAAATCTTACAGGTTGCAGATTTTAAAAAAGGAAATGTTTGACACTAGGGCCCATACGAGATGAGCCATGAATAGGATATGGGACAAACTTTGAAAGCTGAAACTGAATGGAAGCATTCACGATTGTATCATGTATCTTCAAGAATATATACAAACTTTCCAATCTGCCTCACCTGAATCCTCACAAAATTTCTCTTTGCTAATGAGGTGAGCCTGTTTATTTTTAGCTCCCCCCCCCAAAAAAAATAATTGAAATTGAAAATGTTTTATACTCCCATCCACACAATTTAGACCCCCATTTAGGAAAATCGGAAACTGCTGTTAGTAAAAGATAGCACCCAACTCGAGATAAACCGTATCCTGAAAAAAACCCAACAACAGACTTTGCTTTAGCTCTCAACACCACGTCACCCCAGACCTATTTTGTCCTAAGTTTATTTAAGTAAAGAGGCACTTAAATTTGGACAAAATAGTTCTGAGGCGACAACCAGCTTTCAACAGCCTTCACCAACAGCAACTTGGTCCCAAAACAAGACTGAGATAATCGTGGTCAGTATTGCATAGAGATACATATCTTAAAAAGTTGCCAAGAATGACTTACGTCTGTAGGCAATACTGCCCGCGTAAAAGGATAGCTCTCGAACAGACATTCGAATCACTCGGTAAGGAATGATACTGTAATTATTTTTGTGAAAACAATAAAGCATTTGCACCATAAGTAAATTTGAAAAAAACAACTAAAAACTTTCTTTTTTTTTAGGAATGTGTTGTTTGTCACTAACCGATATTTTGGAATGCATAACATAACAAAAGTTGAAGTTAAGAATCCATCATCGACATCCATTCTCTCTCACCTTGTTACAGAGCAGGATAGGCCACCAACTAGAGCTCTCCATCTACTTCTATTTCGGGCTATGGTCTCTACTTTTGCTCAGCTGTATCACATTTTTCTAAAAATAAGTGTTTTACAGCGCTCGCAACTACATAAGGTCATATGAGAGTGCATATCACATTTGTTTCTGATCCAAATCCAAACCCCTCTTTCAAATGCCTGTAGGCCTTCATCTCTTTCTTTTTCCTTGAGGTTTCCATTTGAATTATGTGGGTTACGTTTTTATTTTGTTTTCTCCAAGAGTCCCATCCATTTCTATTAGTGTCACGACGCAGTGGAATCAGTCTCTCGTTTGTTTTTGGGCATGTGGAGTTATTGGTATCGTCTTAAAGGTAGTTCATTTGCTTTGCTTTCGACGAAAAGAATATCCATTTATCTTTGATACACGTCAAGATATTGGCAATTGAAGGGGATAGGGGACACCTGATTTCAGAGGTAAAAAAAGCGAAAATTGACCGCTAAAATTGAGTTTTCTCCTTAGCTTAAGAGTCCGTGGAAACTGAAAATTTACATCTTTTATGCTTTTTAATCAACGTTTTTTAGTATAATCCACACAGAAATGTGTTCTTTAAAGGGCATGAAAAGCGTTAAGCAAAAAAATAAAAATTCAATAAAAGTTCCCAAACCTGTGGAAAAATGCCAGGTTCTTGACTTTGATGATTTTTGACAAACGCATGATTTCACCAGGCTGCTTCACATTTTCTCTTACTGATTTCTATTTCTGCATCTATTGTCTGTTGATTTGCTTGTTCCCGTACCTGCCCATTTTATATGGTGTTGGGATAGTCAATTTTTAGGATCCATGACTTAGATGAAAATTAAGTAGGAAAAAATGATTGTGACCCAGTCATCTTTATCATTCAAACAATTGTGCGGGTGAGTAGTTACATGAAACATGTCGCGACCTCAATGCTTTCTTGTCGTATCTCCATTTTTAACAACAGTGAAAACGAGTCTATAACAAACAGTGAGCATCAGAAGAAGTCACATTTTCACTGTTAAAAAAAATGGAGATACGACAAGAAAGCACTGAGGTCACGATGTGTTCATAACTTGGAACAAATAAGCAATACTTCAAGGGAAAAGTGACTCTTTCTCTCTCTCTCACTCAACATACATGATACAAACAACAGAAAAAACATTGCTTCTCCAACATCGCTGACAAACATGAGAATTAAAAAATGCAGTGGAATATGCAGGGTTTATACAGGTTATAAAAAAAGACCTCTAAGTATTGTTTGCGTAGAAAAGTAAACCTGGACTAGAAAATAAAAAGTGGAATACACTATGCACAGTATAATAAATGTATATTACGATGTAGTATAAGGATCATATTATAGAATTATATGGTTTGTTTAAAGGAACAGTTAGGTTTCTGCTACCTTTTATACTTCCTCTAAATGAACTGAATGAGTAATATGTGTGCATGCCTGAGAAAAGGGTCCACATGTGCACTTATTAACTTTTTGTACTTTATTACGTTTCTATATTGAATAACCTTTCCTGATGCCTCTGTTTAAAAAGAAAACTTTTCAGGCATTTCTAACAATTTTTTACTTTTGTACTTTATCGCATTTCTGTACAGAAGAACCTTTCCAGGTGCCTCTGGGTTTTTTTTATTTTTCAAATATCTCAAACACTTTTTTACTTTTGTACTTTATCGCATTTCTGTACAGAAGAACCTTTCCAGGTGCCTCTGATTTTTTAATATATTTTTCAGATATCTCAGTTTTTGAGACATGGTTACTTTTGTGAGTAAGAGGTGCACCAACTACTTTTGAGAAAAATGTCAAAAATCAACGCCATTTCATAATATTACGTAATGGATATGTATTCTTAAATGCTTTTAAAAACATACTTAGAAGAACTTTTGGCGTGAAATATTTGGGAGGATCAAGAAAAATGATTGATGAGTTGATATCCCTATGAGTCTCAAATTTCCAAAATATAAGATTTTTCACTAGATCTATCTTCCAAATTTTCTCTAAATAAGCCTGTGCAACATATGACCCTCTTCCCAGTCACACACACGTAAGTTGGCTTTTGGCTTGACATAGTCCTCTCCCTGATGGACATACAGATCAATCAATTAAGAGGCAGGCTGTTTAAAGAATACAACATCCCTGCAGAGAGATGGAGATAGTCGATAAAAGAAAAAAAACAAACACAAAAAAACCCATCTCCAATCAGGAAGCGAATTCGCTGTTTCAGTGTGCAACAACAACAAAGCGTTTAACCGCTACACCAAAGATCGTGTAGTAGAGAATCTTTGACTACACCACATACACTGGTCCTCTGTACTAAGTTTACCAGTTGTAATCGCATTCTAAGACCAGGATGAAGAGGGGAGGATTAGGATGTTAACACTTTGCCATCACAAGGCTCATATAGTAAAAACCCTTGTCATCAAAGGCAGAGGCATTTTGGGGAAAATCCAAAGAAACTGGGTGGCAAACGTCACCGATCGACAAGATGTGATGGCAAAGTGTTAAAGAGCAGAGGGATCATCATAGATTTTTAGTATGACAAGCCGATTGCTTGAACAGTAAGTCAGATATTGTGACAAAAAGGTTCATTTATTGAAATTACTTTTGGAAAAAAGCTATATATAAAGACGAAAACATTTGGGGTTTTAGGGTTGTTGTTGTTTTTTTTATCACAGATGTAAAAAGTCCTTAAAAAAGAGTTTTACCCACCCTCTGACATTCATATTTGAGACCCCCATTTAACAAAGCTTATGATTGTCTAATTAAGGATGGCATTTAGATGAAACTCCCCCTGCCTCCACCTCCCCATGCTCTACTCCCACACTCTCCTCCGCCCACTCTCCTCCCCCCACTCTCCTCCTCCCACTCTCCTCCCCCCACTCTCCTCCCCCACTCTCCTCCTAGGCTCAGACACTCTCCAACTCTCTATTCATTGCAGGAAGAACAACAACAAGACACGTGTGTCAACCACGGTACATCACAACTCTGTGCGTTCGTTGAACACCACTTCTGAAGAGATATCGTTGCTCATGAGCATGTCTGTATCTGCATCCACGACTGTCTGACTGCTGCGGAGAACTGCAATGGCCGCCGCACTCTCACTGCGCATTCGGTTGCGCCGCTTTAGCGTATCAGACTGAAACACAGCATCCAGTGAAATATACAAATTTATGAAGATAATAATAATAATCAAACAATGGTAATAAAGATGATGATGATGATAATAATAATAATAATAATA